ACCCTACCAGAGGAAATAATGATAGGCTTTGTAGGGGGGGGACACAATATGACAATCAAATTTAATATGTATGTATATAACAGTGTGTTTATTAGCTTTAAAATGAGGAAATTCGAAGTCAATATTCTGTTTCAACACATAGCCCTATATCTTACCTTATTATTGACCCATAATATTTGTATCGGATCACGTATAATACATGAACATTACCGGGTACTAGTGGACCCTACTAGAGGTAAATAATTATAAGCTTATTATGGGGTTGAAGTAAGCGAAGATAGATCCTAGGGTATTCAATGTGGCAATATAGTTCACGTATATGTGGCAATATAGTTCACGTATGTATATAGTGTGCTTATAAGCGTTAAAATGAGGAAATTCTAAGTCAATGACCCATAATATTTATATTGAACCACGTATTATATTACCGGATACTAGAGTACCCTAGCAGAGGAAAAATATATAGACCTCATGGGAGGTACACAATGTGGCGCCCTGTAGTTTACTATGCATGTATATCTAAAATAGTCTTCTGAAAAGCTTTAAAAAGAGGGAATTCGTCTTCTAATGAGCTTGAAAAATTCGAAGTCATTTTTCAATATTAACTAACGCAAGGCCCGATATCACATCTTAATATTGACCCATAATATTTAAAGGGAAGTAGGTTTGCTTGAAAGTTGATCCTTTTTCCCTCCATTTTAATTTATTTGATTTTTTATTCCATTATGCTTTCTTTAACAAAGAGGCACCATCGATTTTATACTTAGAACAACGTATTTCGTCTGTTAAACTATCGTGAAAATATAGTAAAAGGAGTTTAAAAAAATAATATAATATAAATAAACAAATTTTCCGGGATTTTTCAAGTTTTTAAGCATTATTGGAAATTTTCCGAATAAAAAAATTCTCTTTTATATATGGGATTCTATAATATATCGAAAAACACGTTAAATTAATAATATAATGTAAAATGAACAAAAGAAGAAAAATAAAAAAAAATTAAAAATTGACCACAGCTGGGGCTCGAACCCAAGCCCCCTCACTCAATGCGAACACCACTAGCACATGGTCTTAGCCGTTGGACTACGCATATACGAGGATTGCAAGTGTCTTTTTTGGTGAAAAAACACATAATGGAATAAAAAATAAAATAAAACAAAATGACGGGAGAAAGGTTCAAATTTCAAAGGATCTGATATTCTCTATCCGAATTGGATCACTCGGGTTTCGGTTTCAAGTGTGCGCTCACGCGCAAGTCATATTGTGGGTACGGCATGAAGTCCGTGTGAATGATTACGTACCAAACTCCCCATTTTTCGTGAAATGCATGGGATCCACCAGATATCACTGAAGGGGAAAAAAATTATTCGAAAAAAAAAGCACTTTTTAAAAGCCAGCTGAAAAAAGCACCTTTAAAAGCTTTTAATAACCAAATCCCCCAAAAAGCACCTTTAAGTACTTTTTACAAACGCTACACACCCTGATTGATGCTTAAAAAAATTAAACAAAATGTAGAGAAATGAGAAGAAAAAAAGTTAATATACAGTCTAGCCATCACAATTCCTGCATACTCGTGCTTTGGCTGGTTATTTCAGTTGCATAGAATTCTTGTGATAGCAAGACAGTTTTTTTTTGGTAGATATAGTTACCAAACATGCTCAATAGCAAGTGCTGTTTTAAGATACACTTCATCATCGTCCTCTTCACTGATTACAAACAACTCAACTAATGGTAAAGCAACACTAGAACATTTTTTAACTTCGTGCAGAATCCACTGTATCTGGTTGAGGTCAGCTCCGATTACTGATTTCACCAGCCTCTAACTATTCCCACATTCACAACCTAAACATAAATTAACAATCGTTTAACTATTTATTTTAACCAACATAATAAATATGAAATCTACCAAATAAACTTCAAAAAATCTTTAATTTCTTCAAAACTATTAATACCGGTTGGAAAAAATATCATTTTTTCTAAGTTAAATACAACTGTACAACTTTTTTACTTTTAAAAAAAGAAAATGCAGTGAATAAAATAACCCACTTTGTAATTTTCTATGCAATTTTAATATTTGTATTCATAAATTGATTTTCGAATAATAGAAAAAGGTTGTTATTAAAATTTTGATAATGATCAATCCTCTGAATTTTTATCACAGAATACAAATGTTGAGTAAAAAAGAGTTTCTCAAATAAATTGTTACCGTACAAATAGTCTACTCAAATCTGAAATTTGCATATTGTGAGGACATTGTACTAATTAAAAATTAAATGGAAATGTCTATCAGATTGATAAAAAAACAATATGGATCTACAACAGAATTAATTGAACAATTGAAAAATTATTCAAATTTAAAACTCACTTTCACAGTTTCAAAATCATTGATAGTAAATGTGATATCATTTATAAATGGACCACACTATTAATTACTAATAACAAATAAAATTACACAAATCTCCTAATAAAATTAAGATATTTGCAAAAAAAATCAAAATCATACAGGGTTCATAATAAAAAGGAATAAAAGAAAAAGTTTCAAGACATTTTATAAGATTTTTAGATTACAACAGCAAGAACTGAATAGAAATGTGTCAAAAATATGAATATTTCTATAGCCTGACTATCTCTAAGATAAAAGATGCAGGTATTTTTTAAATAAAAAATAAACACTTTATAACTCTTGATAGCACTATTTTACCCAAATGCAATGTTAACTCTGGTCATTTTAACCATAGCTGTTTAGGGTTAAAAACCTTGAAAACAATATTATAAACTTATACTTTATAATAGAAATGAGCTCTTATACTTTCAGTTCCCAGTACTACCGGTTTCCACAGAAGCGCTCATAGTTTTAATGCCTATTGCAGAAAAAGAGGCTGTTTACTTTTAAATCTAAAAACTGTTTACTTTTACCAAAAAAAAAAAAACCATCATAATAATAAAAAAAATTGTAAGTTGCAATCAGAGTTGTCTTCATCTGAAATAATTTATAAATTCAAAAGATGAAGGAAAATAATAGCTTAAATTTACTCTCAGACATATTCACAAAAAAAAGAAAAAAATTCTCACACACAGAAACAAAAACAGAAGTCAAATAATAGCAAAAAAGTGTGAACTACTTGAAAGAAACACAATCAATATAACTGCACAACCATGATCTACTTTCTATTCTTGTCTGAAAACACTCTCAGACAGGGTTGGGGNTTGGACAGGGGATTTGAGTTTTTTGTCTTAAAGTGTCCAAAACCTTGAACATATATAAAAATTTGATATGTGTAACCATTGTGCACATAATAATTACATATATCAATAAATATTTTATACTTTTTATGCAACTTGCTTTAACTTATTGAAGAAAAAATTCATTTTTTGTTGCTTTAACTTATTGAAGAAAAATAATATAATATGAAAAGATTTATAACTTTTTAAGCTCCACAATTCTCTGAATACCTTATCTCTTAAACATGGTTTTAATACTGATAAATTATGCCTTTGCATAAGGATAATAAATACAATATAAAATATAATAATAAACTTTTTTAATAAAAACAAAAAGTCTTCATTTTGTTTCAGGTTCAAAAAGTAACACTTCATTTTTCACAATTTTTTTTTTAAATTGTGACATAATTTGAGGGAATTGAATTTGGACAGTTTAAACCATGGACATGTTACATTCTGTCCTAAATCTTTCCAACTCTGCTCTCAAGGTCATTCTATTGCACTCCAAAGCAGTGTCAGTAGTTTTACTGATAGTGACACTTTGCATACTACAGAAAGGCTTATATGTACACCAGAGGCAGTTAGCAAAGCTTTTATATATGCCTGCAGCAGGCAAAGGGTCAAAATATTCAATACAATGAAATGTGCTACCGGAAAATTTATGTCTACTATAAAAAATCGTACTTTAAAACAAAAAAGACAATACAAATATTACTTCCATTATGAAATCTAGCTCTGAATCAACAAAAGAATGAAATGCTATCAGGAAAATTTATATCTACTATAAAAATTCATATTTTAAAATAAAAAAGCTAATACAAATATTACTTCCATCATGAAATCTAGCTCTAAATCAACAAAACAATGAAATGCTACCAGGAAAATTTATATCTACTATAAAAATTCTTATTTTACAATAAAAAAGCCAATACAAGTATTACTTCCACTATGAAATCTAGCTCTGAATAATCAAAATGCTACCAGGAAGATTTATATCGACAATAAAAAATTCATATTTTATAATAAAAAAGCCAATACAAGTATTACTTCCACTATGAAATCTAACTCTGAATCAACAATAGAAGATTTTCTAGTTGACCTCCAGACAGCTTTCCATCCAATTGGCTCCACTATGCGAGTGAGGTATTCAACAAGAGCATATTCTGCTGATGATGAACAGCAATCCAGTAATATTTCGTCCTCGAAAACTGAAAGTACTTCATTTAAACTGGAGGACTCAAAGTTAATTCCGTATATATTAGGACAGCACAGTAAAGAAAATAACGATTTTGATGATTCTTTATCCATAGTAGATTGACAGACCTAAAATGTTAAAATAAAATTCTTGATTTCTTTTTAAATATTTCACTTCTTTATAAACATTTCACTTTCTTACATTTATATACATTTGTAAAGAAATAGCTATTTATTTAAGATAGGGGTGCACAACCTGCGGCCACATGCGGCCCTCCAACCACTGAGGTGCGGCCCGCAAGAGTTTCTGAACTCAATAAAAAATAAACAAAAATTTCAAATATACAAAATTTCTTAAAATTTTTTATTGCACTTTTGAGTCATCATGTTATGAAGCTCTCAATTTTTATTGATTCTATAGTAAAAGTATGTTTACCGCGCTTTCTTTAAGCCAATTTTATCATATATCAAAATGATTTTTTAAGCACTTATTTCCGTTTTTCAACATAATTTCGAAATTCCTGAATTTTTATAACGATATTATTACAACACGCGAGTTTCAGATCGCCCATTTAAAAAATCACCTTTTGGCAGTTCTTTCTTTTTTTCAACCGTTTTCCTTGGGCAGTTATTGCTATGCATTCCCAGGCAGATTTGAAAATTCCGATAATTTTATTAGGTAATCGATAATCGCTCATTTGACACGCTTTATTCGTGCTGAGTTCCATTAATTTAAGCGATTTTTTTTTATATGTTATACTTTTCCACGTTATTATTATTAACTGCAATGTTATTACGAGAGGCGAATTTCTATTCGCGCATGTAAATAAACACTTTTTGATGCGGTAGTTCAGTTATGAATGGTATTTGTTACAATATTTCGGAGTAGCGACTATTATCATTCGTTCGAATGTGGTAACGAATTGTGATTTGGTCTAGTACTAAATGTTCGGCAAAAAAAAATAAAAATCTGCCGAATACCGTATATTCGGGGCCAAATAAAATTCTTCAGCAGAGCATAGCAACACTGAAACCAAAAGTTCAATGCTAAGAATAATATTTTCTAAAAAAAACGTGTACATAAAACAACGCTAAAAAATAAGGCCTATTAGAAGCGCTTTGGAAAATGCATCTCTATAAGAACTAAAGATTATATACAAAAGCGAAACAGAGAAAATAAAAATTTATCTTAATTTTCGAATAGAAATTTTAAAGCTGAACATCTCAGTTTTCTAATTACCAGAACAGGTCAAGAATGTGTCAAACAGAAATGTTCTAAAAATTGCTGCATTATAATAAAAATGTCTGTAAAAAGAGAAGTTTTTTTTTAAAAGAAAAAAAAACTAAACAAAAATAAAAGACTTTCTTAATTTTTTAAATGAAAATCTAAATTCAGCATATCGAATTTAAATTTTTCACATTGCCATATGTATAGAAGAAAGGAATTGCTACAAAATGAAGCTTATTAGTAACGTTCATTGGGAAAAATGCTGGGTCATAATAAAAATGCCTATATAGAGAAGAGTTAATTAAAAATAAAAGCAGAAAAAAAAATTGTTCTGAGTTCCTAAAACAAAACTAAAACACTGAAAATCACAGTTTTCTATGTTCTCGGTTATCTATATTACGGTACAGAGAAAAAAGTGACAATTAATCAATAGTATGGGACATTCCGTTAAAATGATGAGTTGTAATAAAAACAACAAAAAAATTCCTTCTCAAATCTTAGAACTAAAAGTATCGAAAAAATCAAGAAATTGACTTGTTTGAATATAATTCTTTTTTTTTTTAAAAAAGGAGAAGTGCAAAATAGTCAAAACAGAAATG